TCCCTGGGTGCCCCAGGTACATTAAACTCTCTAAGGATGTCTTGCAGTCAGATTTTTAAATATATGTGGGTACCTCATGAAACAGATAAGCATCTGTAGGCAACTAACAGGATTTTAAATGCCTTCTTACGTTGTTTCCAACAGTTATTTTTTTTTCCTCCTTCTGTTGTGTAAGTTACTGTAAAAATCAAAACCTAAGAATACTTTTGGAATCTTTGAACTTGTGCTTTAGTAGATGCTTTTGAAAATCCATCTCTATTTAAAACTTCCCATTGTGTGAAAAAAAACCCAAACAACCCGCCATTCATATCACTGGGATGATTGCAGTGCTACAGATCACAGAATGTAAATGTGACAACTTTTTCCATATCAAGGAATTCAACATCTGAAGGTAACAGGCTGTGTGAGGCGAATAGATTATCTTCAATTTCTTTTTCTTCCCTTGCTGAAAACAAATGATTAAACTTTCTAATTCTTAAATATGGTGTGTTTTCTTGTCTTTCCTAATTCTTTTTTTGGGGAGAGTCGCCCCAGTTCCTGAAATTCTACCTCTCAAAGCACTTTTGCCTTACCTGCTACAATTAAGCTATTGTTTTTTTTTTTAGGAAAGTGGCCTGGCTTAATTCAGGTTTGTGCCTCAGAGTGAACTGAAATGATTAATAGCTCTGTGTGTGCCTAATGATGTGAGCCCTGCAGCCACTAAAGCACCTGTCTCAGTGTGTAACCAGCCTGGGCTCCCTATGGTGCATGGCTGCAGATTCACATAACAAAAAAGGCAATTAGACAATGTTAGGGATTTGAATTTAACTAACAATGCAGGGAAATTGCCAGGGAAGGATTAGTTATCTCTTGCCTGATAAAAACAGGTATCCTGGAAAACTTTTTAATTGTCCTTCCATAGCAGCTCCATATGGAAAGTTTTATGTCTAATGAAGACTGTCAGGGTTAAGCTCTGAAAACAAAGATCTGGAAAGCTGAAAGTGTTCTTAAATTAGCATTTCTGCTACCTTCTTAGATCAGTCCTAAATCTGCCAGTTGCTGCTAGTTTTGGCACTGCCTCTAATGGCAATCTGTTGTGTCCAAACAGAAAATTCTCCACAACACCAGCATCATTTTGTGGTCTGAAAATGACTCCAAAAGGATGATCTGCAGCATCTGGATGTTGAAAGAGCTTAATAGTATTATAAAATTAATAGTACTGCCTTATTGTGGGTCTTAGAAGGTATATAAGTTCTTTCTTGTGTCTGTGCTGTGCATACCTCTGACTTGTGCTGGTCCTTCTGGCCAGACAGCTGCTCTGTGTGTGTGGTGATTGGTTTTGAAATTTGCTCCATCAGCTGCTGCACAGTGCAGCTTTCTGTGCTAGTTGGTTATTTTGATCAGTTGTGAGAGCAATGGGCTGGCTGGCTGATTGCTGAGGTGTTCCTCCTGGCTGGGTGACAGGCTTGCTGGCTGACCCCGGCCAACTGGCTTTAACTCCAGTGGGGGATAGCTGCTAATATTTTCCAAGGCATCTAGGTGATTTAGGAGCCCATGGCTCACCCTGAAAGCAGTTGATGCATTTGGAAAATGTTACTCTATTAAACTCACCCCAAAGGGATATAGTGGGGGCTAATTTATGTTTGCAAGAGAGCTTGGGGTCTTGGATTCCTGTGATGTGAATATCTTGCACTCTCCTCTTCGTACAGAGGCAAGCAAGATCCATTCCTGTGGTTGCTTCACCAGACAGGCTGTGCTAAAACTACATCTGCTGATAAGAAAGCAACTTCTAGATAAATCATATAGGCAGGACTCTGAAGCCTAGAAATAAGAACTTCTGGCTCCAATAACAAAAGCCTGGCTTCCCAGCCTCAGGAAGGCTGCCTACTGCTCTGGTAGCAATCAATCCATCGCCCTTCCTGTGGCACTGCCAACTGTGGCTACACGACAAAGGCTGTCAGAGCTGTGGGTTTGGTGAGGATGGCAGTGGGCTGCCAAAGCAGCCAAAGCCAAGCTGCTCTGCTGGCTGCAGGGGGGATGTTCTTGTCCCAGCAGGCACCCAGGGGACAATGTGGTCGTACTCTTCTCAGATTTGGTGGCTCTGCTCTTGGTTGATACCCTTGATGGTTGAAGAGAGGTAGAGACACCTGAAAGAGGGTTGAGAGGCACTTCCTGGCCCAAGACTGGAGAACAAAGGGTTATAACAACAGGAAGATGTGCAAGAGACCTGGTCATCAAGGGAATGTGTTTTCTACCTGTTTATTCTTCATTCTTACTCACCTATTCCTTAAATATCTTTATATTCTCCTGCTGCAGAACAGGTATAGTGGCCTGAGCCATCTAGCATGTGTCTGGGATGCTCCTTGTGGCATCTAATTGCCCTTGTGTACTCAGAGAAAATCATTAGTTAAATTTACATGTCTCTTGCTGGATTTTCTGCATGGGTCTTTTTAAGTCTTGAGCCAGTCATTAGGATTTTTGTGGCTTGTGTGTAGTAATACTCCATGAGTTCTTTAATAAACCATTCTGAGGGCAAAAGTGTCTGTATGAGAGGTTAAGAGAGGGGCTGGGTGCTTTCTCTGTGAATGTCTGAAGTGAATGAGAAGTGAGGGAGAAAAAGGATTAAGAAATAGTTAAAGGATAAAGAGAACTATCAATAAGAAAGAAAGGAAAATACTGAGGAATATTGCTGATGGGTTTTAAATTTGAATTTGGGCAGGCATTTTTTTTACACACTTGAGGGGAAGAAGTTGGAGGCAGCCTTGGTTGCTGTTATGCTTTCAAATTATAATCTAAGTGCTGCCTTGATTATACATCATTCTGATTGCTGTGGTCTAGTGATTAGAGCACAAAACTTGGAGAAAAAATACTCTGTTTTTCTTGACTGTAAAAGACTTGCTGGGTGGTTTTGAATGAGTTATTTCACTTCACTGTGTCTCATTTTCCTGATCTGCAAAAGAAGGATATTAACGCCTATTTTTGTGAAGGCAGTCTGAGAAACTAAATGGAAAATTCTGTATAAATGTCAAGTGTCATTACTATTGTTCTTAAACTAATCCATTGTAGTCAGCTGCTTTTATAGTTTTTATGAAAGCAAATACAATGGAAGCTACATAATTGGCTGCATAAAAACCTTGTTTTATTGAGAAAAAGACAAAAAGTGTCTGAAAAAAATGCAGCAGTGGATTGCCTTTTTTCATCAATTGCAAAAAAACTTTGTTAGGAGTGAACCATACCAGGTAATAAAGTTAATCTGAAGTATATGTGACACAATTATGAGAAGTAACAGGCTCTGACAATTTTTGTTATATGCTTGGTTCACTCTTTTCCTGGCACAAAGATTTTCAGTTATTTTTGAGCAAGTAAGAGTAAAAATGTATGTGTTTAATTCTTTGCCAGTGTCTGAGAGGTGAAGTTTCCTCAGGCTGTGACTTTAAGATCCTAATTTTCAGTTGAATAGTTTGCAGTGTCTGGCTTTTACACCACTAGAAGCTGTACAACAAACATTGACACTTCTTGGTGAGGCAGATATGACCCATCTTTAAATACAATACTGTTAGAACAAGGTAATGGAACTTTGTGAAAAGGTGAATCCCATGACTTTTCACATTCACCTAAATCCTGTTTGTCTGAAAGGTAATCCTATCCCTGTTAATTCACCTCAAGAGTGGACAGTCCCAGTGATTCAGCCAAGGGCAGAAGGCTCTATCAGTAGGGCATCTGTATGGCAGGGTGCTCTTAATCCAGGACGTTGATTATACTAGCAAAATTGAATGTTTGCCAGTTAACTTTGTTCTCCTTCTCTTGAATTTGTCCTGATATGAACAGGATTTTGCCGGTGTAACTGTGTTTATGGTGTGATAGAGGAAGGGTAATGTGGTATGAGGTTTTTCTTTAAGACAGGGCACTTTTGATCATAGGTGGTATGTCTTTATACATTTAAATAATTTGGCAAAAGTCTGTTATATGGTCTTGGCCTTAACATGACCCCAGAGTGAGCAACTTGTGACCTGTCTGTCCTCATCAGCATCAGTACTGCTGCCTTCTAGGACAGCCCAATTAAGATAATTTTATGGCTGCTGTAGCACAACTTAGTATCTGTAAGGCAGGCTGTGTGCAACAGTCCTGGCTGCTCATTTTCAGTCCCCAGTGACTGCATTGCAACAGCCTCCTCTTCAAAGTGCTTTCCTCTGTGGGCACACATGCCTGTTTTCTGCAGGTTCATCTTCACACAGCCCCTCTGTGTCTGTGAGCTTGTTCCCTCTAAACCCAAGGCTGTTCAGGTACAGGCATTACATCATATGCTGAGCAGAATGGGTAGAGTGATAAAACACCTGGATGCAAATGGCTCTGTAAGATGATGGACAGAGTGCTGGTGCTAAAATAATTACACCATAACATGAAAAGAGTTAAATCTGTTTCCTGGTAAGACAGGTTCATTCAGAAGAAAGGTTTTAATGACATTTCAGCAAGGTATTGGCCTTTAAATACAGATACCATTTCACAAAATAATTAAGAGCCAGTTTGAAGTGGGGATTTTGTTTGGTGGTTGGTTACTTTTTTCCTTTTGTAAATTTAAAAAAAAATTCTTGAACTTTTGAGTATTGCTCTTTTCTTGCATAGTCAGCATCCTACCGCTGTTTGTACCAGGTGTAGTGAATACATTAAGACTGTGGGAGAGGGCAAATAACTATTTTTTCTGAAACAATGTACATGTTGAATCTTTCCTTTTCATCTTTTGATTCTGATGATGAAAAATAACACTAAATTTATGAAAATAATGTGATTTTTTTACTTTACAGAAAAGTCTAGTGTTGGATTTGTATTCTGTTAGTGAAGAGTTAACATAAAATGTTGTTCTTGGGAATATGGGACTGCTCATCCTGTCAGTGAAGCTAAGAAGAATTTTCTATGTGTAACAGCACTGGGAAGCAAGACTATTTTTCAGGGTAAGTACAATAAAATTCAGGCAATACTCTTCATCAGAAAACATTTGTAAGAAAAATGCTGAAAAACATTCATTTAGTTACACTATTAGGTATCTTTTATTTTCTTTCTCAATAAGTATAGTGAGTGTACATACACACAAAAAATGCCTTGCTCTACCATTATTCTGAACTGCAAGTTGCAAACGACATTTTTCTCCTTAATATGTCTTTTTCAAGAAATAGAAAGATGGATTTGATTTTTAAGACAGTGGTCTCATTGCAATTCCATGTCAGGAAAGTCCTCTGAGAAGATGAGAAAATGCAGGCAGTCGAACAAAGGAGCCACAGAAAAGAAGCCTCATCTCCAAGCGCTCAACAGACACACATTAAAATGAGCTGACTGAACCTCAGTCCTGTGTCTTGTGGGCTCATCTTCAGGGAAATGAGGTCTACTACAGATTTTCTGATTGCAGCACTAGAGGCTTCCTTGTGCTTTTCTACTGGCCACTTAGGGTGGAATGACAAATTCTGCTTTGCCATGACAAAGTCCAGTTGGACATCTTTCTCCCAGTTCTCCCAAAATGGATTAAAGTGAATACAGACAGAGACAATGAGTAAACTATGATGTAAAGTTTATATACAAGAATATAACATTTATCTGGAGTATTTACAAGGTTAATTAAAGCAATATTTTACAACTCTTTCAGATTAACCACTAGGTATATTACAGTTAAGCTACAGATAGTTTAATTTGCAAAATAATTAAAAAAAAAAGTTGCATTCAGATCAACCAGCTCCAAAACTTGTTTTTTTGTTTTTTTGTTTTTTTCCTCTGAGAGAGAAGGGCTCAGACTTGTGGACAATAAAACGTGAGAATGGTTAATATGCTCTTACTGGTGCCTATGTATCACATGCAAGAGTCGTAAGGTGACCTTTACAGCATTAATGGGGACGGGAGGATGTGTCACCGCGGCGGAAGCGCGGTGCCCGTGGTGACAGGCCAGCCGCGCGCTCGGCTTTCTCTGCGTCTCCTGCTGTGGCACAACAAACATGCACGCACACAGAGGAGCAGCAATATAAATGAACCAGCATTACCAAAACGAAGAGGGAGAGACCTCAGACCAAAGTCACATCTGCAACCATAAAAAACCCCCAAGCTTTAAGCGAGATACTTTAATACTCCCCAAAAATAGTCATTATTTTTGTTTTATTACATTTTAACCTATGTACAAAAACTGAGGGGTTCTTCCCCTCTCGGGCAGCTGTGTCTCGTGCCCACGGGATCTTGAGGCTCACAGGGGCCAGAGCAGGAAGGAGCTGGAGGCCCAGAGAGCTGGGACAGGGGTGGCTGCTGGAGGACAGCCAGAGCCGACGCCACTAACACTGCAGTTTGCGGATGCTGCGGGAGAAGCGCTTGAAAGCCCGCTGCCCTTTCTGCCACCGCTTCAGCGAGGTGATCACCAGTTCCCCAGCTTGCTTCTGCCCCATCACCAAGTAGGGCACGTTGATGTCATTCATCTCATCGCAGGTACACTGGAGGCCACCTTTGAGCCAGAGCACTATCTTCCTCAGATCTCTTTCTGTCAGCCCATTCAGCTTGTAGATGGTTTTGCTCTTTGTTTCAGGGGTGATCTTGGTATCCCCATTGATGTAGGCAATCTCCTTCACTTTTATCTTCAAGGCTAATAGAGCGAGGGGAGGGGGAAGTGGGGAGAGGGAGAGAGATTGAGAGGTTTTTTTCCCATTAGTGCACATAAAGGGGACCTGGGGAGGGAGGTGCTCTATTGCTAATTAAACTGTCAGGGCTGACAGAAGAGGCAGCAGGTGGCTCCATTTCTAAAGCCACAAAGGGCATGCAAGTCATTTCAGTTTGAATCAACCTTAGGGTTGAGGTTTTTTGGATTTCTTTTCTCCTCTTCCCCCTCCCCCTCTTTTCCCTTCCATTCTAAATTAATATTTTTTCCAGCTTTTCTCCTGTTTGCAACAGAGAGAGGGCAGGTTTGCTACACTAAGCAGAGCACCATTTTTTTTTGCTGAGAGAGGGCAGCCTTCCTGAAAATAGCGTTTGAAGGGGAGGTGGGGAGGCAAGTACCTAGACCTAATCTGAAACCTGATCTCTGCTGCAGCTCAAAACTTCTACACTTAATTTATTAGGCTGGAGAGGATTTTAGGCAAACCTGTAAGGAAATGATATTTCACATGCATTGTTTTTTTGAAAGAATAGATCCCATGGAGGGCAAATTGGTCCAACAGCTGCATTCGATTTGGTAAAATAACTAGGAGGGGGTTACAGGGCTCTGTAAGAAGCTGTGGGGCATGTTTAGCTTAAGGAGGATTTATCTGAGTGCAATTTGCCAGGCCAAAACTATTGATTGTTTTAGCAATTATGTCCCACAATCATAGTTTCAGGTTTTGGGTGGGATTTTGTTTTCTTTTCTTAAAGAGAGACTTTTGAATTGTTGTAGATACTTATACTACAAATCTGTTTCCAGGTATTAAACACTGACCTCTTGTAAAAGGATTCCCCTCCTTATTCCCTTTTGCTCTTGAAATGCTAATGTGTGGATAATGTGTCCTTCAGTTGTCTGTGTTGAAGGGGCTTTCTTGTCCTCTTCTAACCCCAGATCTTCCCATTAAGTTTATATCCCCAATTGTCTGTGCATTACCTTCTCTGTCAAATGATATATAGAGCTTCATTCTTAATCTGCAGAGAGAGTCTTTCTTACGATACACTGAGATTGGTCATGCGGCTCTGTCTCAAACATCTAAATGAAGCTTTGCTCTACTTCTCCCCAGGCAATAGTCTGCATGAAAGATTCTCTCTTTTTTTTTTTCCCCCTCTCCTCATTTTACTTTCTATTGGGTTTGCCAGCAACATCCACATAAAAGAGCACTACTTCAAAACAGTAAACAGAAAAGAATGATAAAAAGGGCTACTTTTTACTCCAAGGTGGAATTTTGTGTTTCTTGACCCGACGGTCAAAGCTCTGCCTTTATTCAGGCACATCTCTTACTGATTCCACTGGGAGCTGTACCTGATCCTCGACTCTCAAGTTTCAAACGAGAGGAGCTCTGCTTCCACTTACCAAAGTCGTTTTTGCAGAGGTTTTCCACGATGTCATTATCATCTTCATTTTTGTTTTTGCAGGCATCACAGACCTTGGGTGCTGCAAATGCAAGCAACAGTCCCCGTCAGACCCGGGGAGAAAGGAACAGCAGGTGGCGTTGGGAACCCTTTGGGAAACGCCAGCTTTCCATCCCTTGGCCCCAGAGCCCGCTCCTTCTCCCCCCAGCCCCGAAGCTGCCCGGGCACTTTGTCCCGCCTCATCCTGCGCCAGACCCGCTACAGGGGTCACGGTGGACTTTTAAGGTCACGCCTCAACCAAAAGTTTTTGTTTCAGCGGGTAAAAAAGTACAAGGGGAGTGGGGAGGGAGGTCGAAACACGACACCGAGCACCCCAGCTCCCGCTACAGCGACGACTCTCGTGCAAGGCCATCGACCCTCTGGATGCCGCGCGGCTCCGGCGCCGAATCCCAGACCTTTTCTTTGAGGATGGAGATGGGTGCAGGCCGATGACAGTTCCCCGACGGAGCCTGCGGGTTCCCTGTGCCCCTTGGAAAAGCCTCCCTGAGCCTGGTCTGCGGCCACCTGCCCGGTCCCCCCGTCCCGGAGCGCCGGGCCGTGCTGCAGCTGAAGGCACACGCCTCCGCTGCCCTGAAAGCCGCGGGGGGACCCCGCTGTCGGGGCTCCTCACCGGGGCAGATGCTGCCGGGCCGGGGGCCGCTCCCTCTTACCTTCCCTGGTGACGGGGAGGATGTGGTCGCTGCTGGCCAGCGGGATGCAGAGGTCGTTGTCCTTGGGGAAGCGGCTGCAGTCCAGCATGTCGGGCCAGGGGAAGCCGAAAGCGGACATCACCGGGGCGCAGCTCTCCTTCACCTCCTCGCACAGCGAGTGGCAGGGCTGGATGATCTCGTCCAGGTCGTCGATGCAGACCGGGGCGAAGAGGGAGCACAGGAACTTCCTGGTGTCGGGGTGGCACTGCTTCTGCACCAGCGGGATCCAGGTGGACGCCTGCTCCAGCACCTCCTGCACCGTCTCATGCCCCAGCAGGTTGGGCAGCCGCATGCTCTGGTACTCGATGCCCCGGCACAGCAGCATCGGGGCGGGGATGGGCTTGCAGTTGGAGCGCTTGTAGGAGAAGTCGGGCTCCCCGAAGGGGAAGAGCCCGGCGGCCGAGCCCATGCACTGGGACGCCAGCAGGAGCAGGGCGCAGAGGCGGCGCTGCATTTTGGGGCGCGGAGGAGGTGGAGGGGGGGCTGGCGAAAGGCTCGGGGGGCCGGGGTGACGGGGCGGGCGGCGCGACGCTACCTCAGCCGCAGGCAGCGTCCCCCAGCCCGGACTCCTGCTGCCAGGCGGGGACGGAGAGTCTGAGCGAGATGCTGGGGCAAACGGGAGTTTTCTGGATTTTTTTGTATGCAAATAGCAGGGGGAGCGGGGGCTGGGAGGAGCCTGGTGACAGCCATCCAGAAAGGATTGGTCACTACTTTCTCGGTCTGCTTTTGCTCAGGGGGATTGTCTTTTGGCAGGAAATCTTTGGAAGGAACATTACCGTGCGAGCACGGAGAAGGAGGGAAAGATCCCGGCGAACAAAGAGCCCCGAGGAGCTCCTGTGCCGGGCAGGGGCGGCGGGAGCTGGAGGTGAGCTCTGCCTCTGGCACGGCTGCTCCGCGCTCCCCCGGCACCCCCTGCCCACGTTTGGAGTTCTCTCATCGGGAGATGTGGCCGGGCCGGTTCCCGGGCACGGGGCGAGGCTGGCGGCTCCCTCATCCCCCGGGGGTGTCTGGAACCCACGCTCCGGCCCCTCCTTGCGATGCTGGCAGGGCTCGCCCCGGGACTGCCGGCACCCCCGGCCCCGCTCCGGCTCGGCAGCGCCCAGCCCTGGGGGCTGCCAGGCGGGGCCCTCCTGCCGCCCCCAGCCCCTCCTGCTGCCCCCCCAGCCCCTCCTGCTGCCCCCCAGCCTCTCCTGCCCCTGGCTCTCCCCTGCCAGCGGAGCCGGGCCCTACAGCCCCTGGATGGCCCCCGACTGGCAGTGGGGGATTTCCCCAGTGGAAGAAGCCAAGTGCTTTCGAAATTCTAGCACGTTTTTCTGAGGCTAAAAGGTCCTGGCTCCGTGCAGAGTAGGCACATCCCTTTCCCTTCACTCCTGTCTTCACCTAGAAACTCCCTTAAAAAATTGTGTTTGTGTTGATTTAACACCAAGGGGAAGACAACAGGCAAGGCGCTGGGATCACAACTCAGCTTCAGTGTGCTTTGGATAATTCTTGGATTTTTAGTAATATTATTTATGGGATTATTATTGAAAAGAGTAGGCCTGTGTAGTATCATTTTGTGGTAAACCACATTCATTAATCAGCTACTGAATATTTTTCCTTATAGAGATGTTTTATGGGAAGCTAGCCTCAGCCATGTTGACTTCTGTAAATTGCAGGATCCCTGTACTCCCAATTTCCCACTGGGCTTCCCAGAGATGTGACTCATTGCTTGTGGCATAGGGAGGAGATGGGACCTGCAGCATTCCCACCAGGAAGGCACAGGTCTGCCATGCTGGAATGGCTGCAGCTGCCCCAGGCTGCTGTCACATGGTGAAGCCAGTGCCAGCTCTTTCAGTGAGATTCCAAGATGCCTTCCAGTGGGCCAAGTTGATGAATGCAATCTCCCTGTAGGGCAGCTTCTCTCCTGAAGTTGTTTGATATCTAGAGAATAAATATCCTGAATGTCTAGTATCACTTTTGATAAGGCTTAAAAGTAGTTTATTTCTTACAGCACCACATGTTCTTGCCATTAATTACTTTTAAACAGAGTTCATGTAAGCTGCTGGCCTCAGTTGCCTTCCATAGGACTGAGACCCATTGATGGCTTATGGTGCCCATTTACCAAGTACCAGAGGCTGTAGGCTTTGTCACTTGCCAGGAATATCCCTTCCAACTCCTAGTACTGGTTCTACAAGCCTCTGTTCCCAAACTCCTCTTCAGTGGAAGGAAATCTACCAGCAGGTTTGTTCTTATTCTGAATGGCTGGGCTATCCACCAGGTCTTCGTAAAATGGACAAGTTTGTGGTTTGTTTTTCTCTCTCCATTAGGACTGAGCCCCACTGATGGCTTATGGTGCCCATTTACCAAGTACCAGAGGCTGTACATTTTTTTCTGCTGTTTCTCTCTCTCTTTTTTTTTTTCTTGAGTCATTGATATCCCCTCAGGTGGATTTCAGCATGATTGGAAGAAAATTTGCCTGCTCCATAAATTCCCTGTGTGCTATTTTCCATGGATAGGCTATGTGGAAGCAAAGACCCAAATCTGAGCAGACTGTTTAGACTAGAGATAACCACCATTCTCTGTGGTGGAGGATGAAACACTTCTGCCAGAAACCTGCTCATTCTTTTCACCAGAATTGTTTGCTTATTTGTTTCCAGCCCACAGGAAATAAGCAGAAAAACCACACGTTTTCCTGGATTAAGCTTTGATTTGAAACAAGGTTTTATTGACATCCTTATTATTTCCACTTCTAATGACCCCCGCTGAACTCATTTACTCGAAGTTTGAAATGACCCGAGATCACGTAAACAAATCCAACCCACTCCTGCAGACCCGAGCGACCACTGGTGTCCTCGCTCTGATCCCTCGCAGGTGAAAGCGCCAGAGGCGAGGCTGCCGTCTGTGCTCCTCGCTGCCGGCTCCCAGCCCGCGGCCCCGAGCGCTGCTCGCCGGGGCTGCGGGGCATTTCTTCCCGCTCCCCGCCACCGCAGCCGCCTTCCCGGGCTGCGGGTGATGCTGCCCTGCCGCCCGGCCCGCACCGCGCTGCGGGCGGAGCGCGGCTGCTCGGCTGTCCCGGTGCCGCTGCCCCGGCTGTCGGGGGCACACGTCGGGCCGGCACGGGGGATGTGCCCCGCTCGGCCCCGGGGGATGTGCCCGGCTTGGCCCGGGAGCGCTCCCGGCGCTGCCCGCGGGGGTGTCCCGCCGCACGCGCTCGGGCCGATAAGCATCCCCTGCCTGCCGCTAATTGGGAAGGGAGCTGAGGAATGGTGCCGCCCCTCCGGGCCCCGGGCGTTCAACCCCGCCCCGTCCCGCCCTGCCCTTCCCGCGTAGGTGCGGGGCCCGCTGCTGCCAGGTAAGGCGCTGGCATCCACCTCCCACGAAAGCCGTCCGGCTTTTTTGCGACCCGGTCCGACCTGGCAGGAGCCAAGCGGGACTGCGCTCCTAAAATACAAGGATGTTTTAAGGTATACTTTTTTTTTTGAATGAGGTGTTTTTAAAAATTATTTTAAAGGCAGCATAGGCTTTTGAGCACCCGTAAATGTATCAAATGCCATGGATAGTTAAGCTACTTTAAAGGCCTGAAAGTAGCATAAGCGTTTAAGCCACTTTAAGATGTTTAAATCTGTATAAGCTGTTAAAATGTCTTTAATCCTCAAGTGCTTAAATCACCTTAAATCCTGGGAGTTAGGTGGGAGAATGAGCTGCCTTGAAAGAAAGAACCTCAGCTCCAGGTCCCCCCAGCCCTCAGTTACCTGATGGAAGGTGGTGAAAATGAATGAACTGTGGGGAAATCGACAGGAGTCCTTGGAACTTGCATGGAGTTCAGTGTAGTGTTGTGTTCTAAGGAGTGTGCCTGCTCTGTGCCCTCTAAGTTAAAACCGTGGTGCTGCTTCCCCTGGTTTTCAAGCCTTGATAAGGGTTATGAACTTCTAGATGTCTTTTTGACCAGTTCTGAAAGCCAAGATGTAGAAAGAGGAAAATGTATTGACACTTGCCTGCCTGCTCAAGAACAGGCAACAAACTTGCTTTAACACAGGCAGCAATAAGAGTGTGAATTTGTTGATTTGTTCATATTTTCCCATATCTTCTGCTTTGGGATCACGCAGTCCCTTACCTGGCTATGTGCCTTATGTGGAAGCCTCTTTGCTTCTCCCTTTCCCCAACTCTATGAGGTACTTTGGTGATGTGATGAGCTTTGAGGCAAAAGCTGCTGTCACTGCCAGCCTGGGCCTCACGTTCCTTTGTCACAGACCTGAAGGTGTCATTGTCCTTTTGGATTGCAGAATCATGGAATAATTGTGGCTGGAGGGAACTTCTAGAGACCATTTAGTCCAAGTCAGTGCTCCAAGTTCTGGGTTTAGCCAGGTGGCTTGCAGTCTGACACTCCTGAGAACTCTCTGGGTTGCCTGCACCCTCACCTGGGAGGCTTAATTCCAGGCTGTGTCTCCACCCCTCTCCCCTTCCTGGAGAACACATTGAGCTTTCAGCTCCGGGGCAGTCCCCAGATTGGTTTCCCTTGGTGGGAGACGGTGAGATTAGGATGGATGATTTGCCACTTTGAGAGCAGTGATTTGCAAAGGGAGGCATGGGTGCATGGAGAGCAGCCACACCTTACCTGGCACAAAGCACCCGCCTTCCCCAAAAATTTGGGTGATGGTTTCACCTCTGAACTGAGTCCAACCCCACTGGCTGGTGAGAGTAGCCAGGTCAAGCAGATCGGGGGAATACTGACCTCAGGGGCTTCCTAAGCAAAAAAACCTGGAGCTTGAGAACTTGCCCTTAACATTGTAGAGGAACAAAAAACCTGAGGCTTTTTAGCTCATTCTCTTCAGCTCCTAAAAAGGCAGTGATGAGGACAAAACTGGTTTTCTCATCACAATGAAAACATCTGAAGAAAATTTCTGCTTACCTTTTAAAATGGTCTCCAACATCACACTACAGAAATAGTATTACTATTTGAATCTCATAGTTAAATTTGACAGGAAAAAAATAGGATTGCACAGAATTTGATGTGAGGCAGCTCAGCAGCAGATCCCTCCTGGTGCTGTTTCAGTGGCTGATAAGGTGGAATTTAACATTTTCCAGATCAGGACTGGGCAGCAATCTTGTTTTCTGTTGCCACGACATTTAAAAGTTCCATTGTCAAAAACTACACGTGCTGTAGATATATCTTCCCCTCTTCCCCCCCTCTGTTCTTTGGAAGGAACCCTTAAAAATAAGTTATCCTTTTCTTTGCTTTCCATTTGGAATGCTCACTGAAAATGAGCGGCGAGCGTGCACGAAAGGTGTTGAGGATGTGCCCGAGCAGCACTGGGGGAAAACCTTCCTTGGGCGGCGGCAGAAGAACCTCTTGGTGGCGCTTGTGCACACTGTGTGGTGCTTTCCTTTGCCCAGTGACACCGGGTATCGATCTTCCCCTAGAAACACCATGCTCTGTATTTCTGCTCGCTGCCCTTCTTCTCTAGAAACTCTCTTTGGGGACTGGAGCTCCAGGCCATCTTTAGTCAGGGTTTGCTGTCATGGGAGGAAAAGATCAAATTGAGGCTGATTATTTTCAAATGGAAATGAAACCAAATCACACATAGTTTTCCACGTTTTCACTTTTATTACT